TAAGATTTTCATCCATGTATCGAGGTTTTGGGTGGGGGAGAATTTTCAATAATGACTTGACTTTTTGCCTCATCTATAAAATCATCCTCAGCCCAAGTAAAGATGGCTGTACCCTTTTTGATAAAAATTCTAGTGCTTTCAATTCCTAATGCAACATGACGGGAAGAACTGCTTTCACGGATTACCCACCTCAAGCACAAGCACCCCCCTTATCGGTTGAAAAGAGCCATTTTAGTTGGAAGTATTCAGAGCTAAGCCAACACAACGCATGCACTGCATAGTCGTTTGTGAACCAGCGAAGTGCAGTTACCACCAGAGGAGCGCCCCCGTTGCTTGGCATATAGCGCGTCCTTTCTTGGTCGCGCTCAGGGCTCATAGCTTGAACACTTTGCTTGCTAGATGCCCACACATCAAGTACTGCTCATGTGATATAGAATCCTTCTAAACACGTGAAGCATTTTGACGATTTTTCTTCCATAAAATAACCTTGTACTTTGTTGTGTAGGAACTATATGCACAAACATCTACATTAAGATGTCATTGCGCGTGTCAGTTGGGGGGGGTCTTGCGACTGGACATTACCAGAATTGTGAAAAATATTCTAAAAAGTGTGGTTTTATACGGAAGACTAAGTTGCCTCGCGTCGTGTAGCTCCGTCGCGATGCTGCGTCAGGGCAACGACACGACGCCACGTACTTTTGTCGCCAACAGAACGCCATACCTCTGGTCTCAAACTTGACCAGATTAAGCACTCCCTCATCGGTTGAAAAGAGCCACGTTGGTGATTTGCTGGAAGCCAAGCGACCCCAGCATGTCCGTTTCATAGACGTCTATAAAGAAACCAACGAAGTGCAGTTCCCACCAAAGGAGCCTCCGTCGCTAAAAGGAGAATAGCACCCTCTCTCGAGCGTTTCGCTCGAGGTAGATAGATCAACCCTACCCTAAACACAAAACCCGTCGTGGTCATGAACCGAGTTGAGCCAACCAGCCGGAAAATGTTTTCATCCGCCCGACAGTTGATTTTTTTTACATATATACACCTGTTATTTGCTGCAATGTTGTAACTTATTCCATAAAGCTTTTATGTCTTCAAAGATGCCATAAACATTACAGAATGTTGGCGCCATGCTGAGAGTACTGAATTTTTAGGCTTAATACCACTTTAAGTCTAATAAAAGGGTGTGAACAGAACTGAAACTGTGAATTTTCAGTGCGCGTTCAAAAGGCTGTTAATGACAGCTTATTTTCAGGAATTCTCAACTGAACAGTTAATCATTACACTGATGCTGGGACACGGTTTGCAGGAAACCAAGTTTGCTGCAATGTGAGCATTAATTATTGATGAATGTATTACCGTAAAAATTGTGATTTGGAGTGTTATACCAAGTACAAACAACAGTCCTCTGAGGAAAAACTGCCACTTGTTGCTCCTTTCAAAACGCACCGCCAAGGAGGGAAAGTGGCTGAAGGTTGGCCATAAGACAGGTAGCTTTTTCCTGCGCTGTTTTGCAGAAGAAATTTGCCGTCACTAGAACTGTAGGTCTCGGATGAGTCCATAAGTATGAGCCACCGAGTCAGGTCCTTTTAATTCTTCCACAAAAAATGTTTCGTTGAATTGGTACAGGTAGAAATTTTCCTCTTAATAAGTGGCTATAATTACTGAAATTCATTATCAGTTTTGCCCAAAACTGTGGAGGTTGTTGGTTAAATAACTTTCTAATGTTATACAAGTACGTAAAATAAACGGTCTTTTTTAAATTTAAATGCGTACAAAATCATATCTTTGTGACAAACGATATCTCTACAAATAAAATACTTCCTCCATGAAAGCGTTAAAAATCATAAGAACCTAAAACTGGTTGAAAATTAAAATTAAAAAAATAAGAACTTAATCCAAATTCAGCGTGGTAGCTACATTTCCGCAGTTCCGAAGCAAAAGTTGCCAAGCAGGAGAAATTCTCCGAAATATGTCGGTAGACAAGCCCTAACTATTGCAATGATAGTCCCAGCTAGATATGGGATGGAGGGGTACCCCCACATGCCCAATCCCTATACGCCCTCTAGACTATTGTTATCTAACACATTCCCTCCCCAAGATGTGTGAAAAGAATTCCTGTGGTTCTAAACAAGCAATGACCATCAGAAAGGTGTGTGTGTTGTGGGGCTGCTCTCCGTCCCATCTTGTTTCAAATGTTTGGATTGAGCATCAGACTCCTATGCACATTCCTGACGAGTCTAGTCCGGTGGTATTATTCCATTACTGCGTTGATGAAACGTGACAACGGACTGCCCCATTCCCGGAGCATACGCTTCAGTCTATTCAGTTTAGCCGTGGAAGTTTAGCTTCGTAGGCGTTCCACCTGCATAGCCCCCAGCGATTGTTCAACGTGCGTTGTCCCATTACTTGTAGAAAACAGGAATCCCCAAGGCAACCTTCCAGTAGCAAAAAAAAGGACTCGTCGTGTCTTCATGTACAGCCTACGCTGGATGTGTTATGGCCCTTTGACGAAGCTGTTTAAGTGGATGGCTCTTCCGTTTAAAATCTAATTCAGGACTTTCTCTCCCCGTGTTACACCGCGTTGATCGGCATTTTACACAGGTACGGCAAGGGAAAATGACAGCCAAAGTCATCCCAAGCGAACTCCCAAAAACACCCGCAGTGCTGGTTCACCGACTTGTTGTCGGGCTGGCCGTCTCGCCAGCCCTGGTAGGTCATGTTTGTCCCATCGCTCCAGACGAATGTCCCTTCCTCCGCTAGGTCGTTGCCCCCGAGCCAGACGAATTTGCCCAGTTCTCCCGTCTGCGGGACCAGGGACGTTTTCCACAACTGCAAGAGGAAGCTGTCCTCCCCGCTGCTGTGGATGGACGCCAGGTGCCCCTGGCCGCTGCGGGTGAAGAACTCCTGGCAGTGGTCCTCGGCGCTCTGCCACTTCTTGGGCAAGCCGAAGAAACGGTAGCAGTTGTCCCCGTAGCGAGTCCAGAACGGCGGACAGTCCAGATCAACCCCTTCAGCGAGGCCAAGGGCCAGGAGGAACAGTGCGCAGGAAATTGGCCAGGGTGTCATGATGCAATATGTAGTTAAACAGGTTTTGTAAAATAATCTGTTGAACAAAAAGAAAACATTATTTGTTTTCATTAAAGGAAAACATGAACATCACACAAACTACATGTATTAACATTAATTTTACAAGCAAGTAATCCAAATCGAACTTGCCAATGCCAAATTTTAGAATATTCATTATAAGAGAACTAATCTTAGAAAAACTTTAGTAAAAAGAGACGGCAGTGTATTTTTTTTCGACATAAAAAGTATTGGCGTGCAAGATTATTTTATGCCAGGTTGTAACGTAATCCAAGTGATGGAACTATTCGTTTCTGTCTGGGAGACCAAATGCACTTGTATGTGAACTTGTACCAAATTCAGCCAGCCTTGTTTCAGTATTTAATCGGACAAAATGTTGCATCCTGCTTCCACTTCAGCAGTTGTGTACAAAGTCTATGGGAGTGAAGAGAACAACATCGGTAAATGTTTCTCAGTCCAGAATTCGCGTACATGTCTTTCCAGCATTTCTGTAATGACTGACTTTTTTTGAGATGATATATGATGAAAAAGGGTGGAGTCAGGATGCAACATGTTTTTTTCCGTAAACTATATGTGAGCCACACAACTTGAACAGACTCCTGTTGGGATTCTGCTGTGCCTATGACCCCTCATAATGATGCCAAAGCCGTTTAATAATGCAGATGCATTTGTAATATATTACCGGCATTCTTGGAAGAGTGGCATTTTGTTGAAAGGGCCGCATTTATTAACAGTGAGAAGCAGACTGGGTAATGAACAAAAAAATTCTTAGATGGAATACATCTCGAGCATCTCTTATACCATCGTCCTCACGGTCTGCCGAAAAAGTTTCCAAAATTTGCTTTAAAGTCAACAAGACTATGAAAACGATGTCAAAGGATGTGTTTCAATAAACGATCCCCCCACAGGCATCAAGAATATCAAGCCTGCAATTGTGCTCAACCCTTTGGATGGTTTCAACAATATTCAACAAGGTCTAAATCACTTGTATTGGCCATCAATGTTTGAGTTGCCCACCCCTAAACAACCCAGTGCATTTTCGTTTACCTAGTGCTCGATTTGTCGCAGATTATGCCCATCCTGCGTCGATTGTGTGCCTACACTGTGTTGATGCGATTTTACCGTTATAGATCAATTATCCGGCAATGCAGTTTATGTTTTTGCCGCGGGATTCCTTTTACGAGCATATATAGAACGCCTAATATTTCACCGATTCAAAAAATGTGTGCCCTGAAAAAAGGGGACACACTGCACTAAAATACTCACGAAGTAATTTTGTGGTCCGGTCAGTTCTCTCGTGTTGTCGTCTAATGATGATATTCAAGCGGTGATCACTCTGTGGAAGGGTGCGGCCCTCGTGCCCTCTATGCTTGCCGTTGATTGGTCGACTGGAATTGGTGCCCGCCCGCTGCCAGCAATCGCACACATCAAGTGAGCTTTTCCTTTGGGGTGGCAGTTTTGCTAATAAGAGGATGGCGCACCATCAGTGCACAGACGCACTTGAAACGTGCATTGCTAACGCCGTTATGTTACGTAAAGGATAATACTTCAGCTATGCGTCATTCGCGGGAAGGAATGAGGTGATACGAAGTCCAGACGTCCACTCCTTCCCACAAATCGCGCGCTGGGGGTATCAGAAGAATCTACAGGTAACATCCACATATTAAAAAAAACTTCCGACATTATGGCATTATTTCAGCCAACTTAACGTCATTGAACTTCACAAGCGGCTATCTTACTGAGCCTAATACAAAGGCTTGGTTGTCACTGTGAGCCAAATCGTTTGTGGCAGCATTACTTACAAAATGACACGCAGATCAATGATTGCTCTTGTATTTTGGCACTGTAAAATGGCCGCCAGGAATTCAGTAAAACTTGTATTAGAAGTCCATACTTTTTAATGTGGTGCCTGAAGTACCACGCTAGTCATGACACCTCAAAACTTAATTGACCCCAATTTAATTTTTTATACAATTATACAGTGTTGAAAACAGTTCTTTGTTATGGTTCTTTTGTTACCTGAAAATTGAAACAACACGTGAGTTTTCATTTACTGACTGAAATTGATTGATTGTTGAATTTCTACTGATGTTGTGCTTCGTGGATTATGGATTGTTTTTACCAATATACATTGAATTAAGTATCTATATATGTATATATACCATAGTAACAGTCCAAAGTTGTAAAAAAAAAAAAGAAAACCACTTATCAAGTAAATTCGCGTTGCATTCACTTGCAGAGCAACTCATTCTTTTCAATATTATTCATTTGAAGCTGACCTCAGTTTAGTTCTTCAACGAAAGCCGTCCTCATTTCTTCAATTTTGTTTTGTAGCATTTGGAATGCCAGTAAGCATCTCCGGCATCAAAACCAACAGAATGTTTTTGAGTTCTTGGTTAATTATGCAATGAAATGATCATTCCATAGGTAACCGGTATGCAAGATTACATAATTGATTCCAGGACTAAACCCAACCAAAGAAACACATGGAGGGCGTCCTGCAACTTCAAAGGCACTTTGAGCTCTGAGAACGATACTTGGTAACAAATTATTTTGGCTGGGTGTCCATGTTCTGCGCTTAAACTTCTCTACTGGCAGTGGATTGGAGGGAGGTATCAGTGAGGTAAGAGTGTAGCGGAAATAGAGGACTTTGGGGAGGGGTTTTTGTGGGGGATGATTTGACCGGCCATGACAATTAAGGCGAGAGATGACACCTATGACACTATATAGGGGCGATGTTCACGATACAGATGTATTTTGTTTTTACATTCAGGCAGAATCTTATACAAGAACAGCATATTTATGGCTGTCTCATTTTGCTCCCCCTCTGAGTGATACTGAATGCATTTTGGTATTTGAGAAGTCCAAAAATTCTTCACAATCTGCTTTAATTGTTTTTCTCACCACAAAGCAGTGAGGGATGATTTAAAAGCCCATTCTCCCAGTCAAAAAGGGTTATCCCCCCCGGATTTTTACGCACACGGTAGGTATCGAACATGACCATTGAATTTGCCTTTCTTCTATGAATTTGGAGGTTGAAACTGAGATCGATTTTTATTCACCCATTCAATAAACGGTGCTTTCAGTTCCACTCATCCCTATTTGGGACGGGGTACCAGTTTATTAATTTCGACACGTTTTCCCGCGAGAATGCCGCATCATCTGGATAGCCACGCTACCGTAGCGACGTCTGGATCCACATTCTCCTCAGATACAGCATATTATCGTGCGAGTCCAGTCAGCTGGTTGCAGACTCCAGGCCCTCCAGAGGGCAGCAGAGTGAATCCGCATGTGACAAGAAGCTGCGACAGAAACCTTGCACACCGGGAAATTGCTTCAGGTGCTGACTCCAGTCTGTTCTTCCAGAAATTTTGACTTTTTTTCTCTTTTAATTGGAAAGCATCGAACTTTAGATACGGCGCTACATTTATCGCAACTGATCTCGAGGAGGGGAGTGAGCAAGAATGGATCCAGAACCCTTTTGGGGAGGCAAACTTTGGTTTTCTTTGTTGGGAGCAAAAACCTGAATTTTTCACCAGTAACCTTTTATGGCCTTTCTGCGGGGTGCGGCTTCGTGTTTGAAAAAAAATCCCCTCTCTCTCATAATTTTTCAACTAATCATTTTGCCCCTCTTTTTTGGGAGTGGGTGGCCCTCGGATCCGACGTCGTGGGAGAGGATTTCTCTAAGGATTGAAAAAATAGGACCATTGGGACAAAAACAACTTACCCTCACATGAACCCCAAACCTGGACGCGTCTCGGCAAGGTATTTAGCTCAAGGGGGGGTCCCAGTTTCCTAGTGCTTTAGACACAATGCATTTGATGAATATAAGGCACAAATAAGTAACTTAGTTATTAAGTAATTTCGGACCTGCTAAAATCAAAATTTCAACCAGATCAACAATGTTAATTTCCATTTATAATCAGCTTATAATAATCTTAATGTGCTCGATCTGATGTTTCCGCAAGCTATTGCAAGACCCAAATCTATTCTCAGTGTTCGTGAAATTTTACATTAAAAACAGCTCTCAAATCAATTGCTGTCTTGGTGACCCATAATGTAATGACCGTGATCAACGAGTTTTATCTCGGTCGATAAGTCATCCACACAGACAGCGTCACCAAGGTAACACACAACGGCCCAACACACTTCAGCTGCGAACCTGTCAACACGAACTGACACCCGAGTGGGCTATGATTTGCGCAGACCGATAAGTAGTGTAAGACTTGACCTTGTATGTTTGCCCCTCTCAATCTATCCGCCAACAAGCGATATTTTTTTATCACACAATATTCTGGGGATGGACTGCGTACGTTCCTACTGGAAATGGTTTTATTACCAGCCATGAGAGGAGACTATTATTCACGCCTCTTGGAAGCTTCCCTTTGGAAAAACATCCCCCAGAGCCGCGATTCTAACCTTTCTTCAAGTTGGGATTCCTTAGCGTGTTGTGTAAAAAAGATCGCCTCCCACGAAGGAGCAAATCCACTTAGTAAATGTGCATATAATTACCAATCATCTTGCCGTTTGCACATACGAGTCATAGTTGCCATTTGAGGCCGATTTCATATTTACCCGTAATCAGTGTGCCTTTAATTGACACGTCCGGATCACATCAAAAGCTACGGTTGTTACGGGCGTGAATTTGGGTCTTAATTAATTGAGAGAGGAAGTGGTGATGAATTGTTCAAAATCTGTTTTAAAGAAAGGGTGAAATCAGTGCATGTATTGGGAGCACATATTGCGTTTTTGGCGGGAGCGGAGTGCAAGCCCAACGAGGAAACTGAATCCCATCTCCACCCCCATTCCACTGGGTCAGGAAGTAGTGATGCTTCCGTTTTTGTCCCGAAACCTACCTCAGGCCTGTATGGGTGAGGGCTCATGGGCGTCGCCAGGATTTTTTTCCACGGGGAGGGGAGCAAACCATTTTGAACCCACAATGGGACAAATTAAAACAAACCTATAAATAAGATAAACTCATTAAAGGGTGGAGGGGCAATATTTTGAAGCAAATCCGTGACTTTCCTTCCCTTTTTTATCTCATTTCTATTTACTTCGTTTTTCGGCAACTTGTTTGTAATGTTCCCCCATTTTTTTCGGGGGGGTTCCCCCTCACCCTCATCCCTTGCGACGCCCATGAGTGGGACGCTTTTCCTTTCCAATGATCATGCTACTACGAAACACTGTCAACCATTAACTCGTACGTTAAACCAGAAAAAAAAAAGATTTCAGTAGTTGTCAGGGCAACATTTGTATTCTACTAATAAAAACACCTGTTTGTTTCGATAGAGCCAGCGACGTTGCGTGACCTTTCATTCTTTCTTCGCACAAGCACAAATGTTTGTTTACATAGGCCTACTCCCATTGTGATCTGATCAACCGAGTGGGTGCGGCGCGTTAATGGAGACCGACCAACCCTAATCAGTCCCCGGTGGTATTTTTCGTATTGAAATTTCGGCTTAGCAACAAGTGGGACCGTTCTATCATAGAGCTACGGGTTTGTAGCTCTATGGTTCTATCATATTATAAGTACTGACCTTCGGTAAACAGCAGTCGATCGGTGCTATCGTGTTTACCTTGCCTGCGCGGCGTTTTTGGTCTCATTATCCGCCGTAATTAAGTGCCCGGCATTAAACTTACCACTCCTTGCATGTATCATCAGGAGAGCGGCTCGCAGGAAGGACTGCATCTGGCCAAGCGGAAGGTTAGCCCGATGACCGTTGAGGATATCTCCGCTGAGGACGGTGCGGCGCCTGCGGCCCCGCCCGATCCGGCGGCGTCAGCCAAGCAGACAAGCCTGCTGTACGTGGTGAGCCACCGGCTGGCCGAGTCGGGAGCCCACGGTATACCCAACATCCAGCGGGCAAATTCCAACTTCAGACGGGTGGCGTGGACGTTGCTGTTCCTGGCTGGCTTTGGAATGTTCATTTACCAAGGCTGTGATCTGATTATCAAGTAGGTATTGAAATATGCTGATTCGAAGCTTTAAGAAATAAAGAAATCGTTCAGGCTCATGGCTCTCTCGTCATAATCTAATATCTTGATTTAATTGCAGAAGACGACGTGAAATCCACATGTAAAAAGAATTATTTTCCCTTACGTAAATTTACTGAAGAAAACAGAATGCCAAGTTTTTCCTACAATGAATGTTATTTGCAGGTTAAAACTTTATTTACATTGAATAATAATTCAACAATTTCAAATTAGTTTGCAAGTTTTGGAAATACGTGTATATATGTTATACAACAGATTTTTCTTATCAAAAGAGAAAAGCCTGCGTACCTTTCAACTGTTAGAGGAATTTTCAATGCACAACGCTTACAACAAGTCTACTCGGTATGCAGTGTGCATTTGCTTATCAGTATTTGCCCTTTAAAATGTAAAGGAGATGCATAAAAATGCATACACGGAGCTTTGGGGAAACCTGTGACCAGCATCTGTCGCATGCCCTTTTTTCCCACGAAGATTTTTTAGCTTTCTTTTTCGAAGTGTATATCGTGCAGTGCAATATCTAGGGGGAAACGAGGGCCAGATGTCCAGCACTGCATGAAGTGTTCGTTTGAAAAGTGCGGATTTGTTGCAGGTAGCTGGCTTTCCTAAAAGAGCTGTTTGTTGGTTCCCCCACCACATCCACATTTCCTCCGAAGGACACGATTTTGCAAGACCCTGTATATCCGAAAAAGTCACTACTGCCTAAGCTTAAGTCTGAAATATTTTGAACCTGCTTACTTTAATATGCCATCATTAATGGTCGATTCACACATGAGCCTGCGTGGAGGAATCTTGAGTCCCATTTGTATCAAATTCAAACCACTGTGGCTGTCACCAAAATATGGTACATAACGCTAATGTGGGTTGAGCCAAGTAAGAAGGCCAGTTTTTGCATAGATGGCAGGCGATGCCGGGAAGAATTCCCAATTTTACTCATTTGAAATGCAGTGGCGTAAATCTGTGCGGGGAACTACAGTTGGGGTGGGGAGAGGGACGGGGGGTGTAAGGGGTGCCTTCCCTGGGGGGATGCTGACCCCATATGACACTGGGGGGGCGATGTTCATAGATGGATTTCACATTAGCGCCGTCAGCGCATATCCGCATCGAAACTGAGGCTCTCTGTGTTGAACTTCTTCGCGCGCGCCCGCGGAGTCGACGCAGTACATGCAGTATCCGGTTCGTAAGTGTGCCACCACTTCATTTGAAACCACGCCCACTGCCCAGATACACGACCATCGCAAGTGCGTTTAGTTGGCGGTATATTGCCGCTAATTTTTTCTTTGGATTTTACGTGTCGAATCATCGAAAATTTGCAGTCTGAAAAGTCTGAATTTAACATACATTTATGTATTTTGCGTTTTGACTCCTTAATTTCAATCGTCTGATCGTATTAAGAATTGAAGCTGGCACAAACAGCCTCGTTTTCAAACGCGGAAGTGCGCAGATCGACGCTGAAAGCGTCGTATTGGGATCCCTCTACAGGACAGGTGTACATCTGGCAGTAGGGGGTTGTGTATAGCATTCCTGCAGAACCTCACCAGAACATCGAACCGGCGTAATTGTGTGTTTTAATTGTTCTCCATTTCCGATTGCTATTGAATACATTTTGGTTGATGGGTAGTCCGAAAAATTCTTCACAATTCGCCTTTTTCTCCTCGCAATGAAAACGCGGAGATAATTCAGTAGCTCCTCCCCTCCCAAAAAGGTTGGGGATATACCCCCATCCCCCGGGATTTTCACCCATGTTGACATGCCAGTTAAATTAGTTTGACGGGGACATTAGACACTTTGATAGGTTTCTACTGTGAATAACTCATTTGAGGGGTTGGGCATTCCGATATTGGACATTCACATAGGTTTTGACAGCGAATGTTTATTTTTTAATTGGACATCGAGGTAATACATATGGGGCCTTAGAAACACAATATGATTGCCAAATGCCCAATATCAAACTCATTCAATTGTCATTCCTCCAATATCAAACTCATTCAACTCTCATTCGACCAATATCAAACTCATTGAATTCTCACTCTACCAATACAAACTCATTCAACCGTCGTTCCACTGACCGTTCTTTTCAGGTTTTACAAATGGCCATACAATGTCAACATTGAGGTGCGCACGCCAAAGAGGGTCGAATTCCCGGCCGTGACGTGGTGCAACCTCAACCCCATCCGGAAGGACGCGCTGGCGGACTTCACCGACCTACGCAGCTTATTGGAAGGGGGCTCCTCGAGCTGTGGCACCGCCGTCAATGCGACCTTTGGGGTGAGTCCATTAGATTTTCCATTTGTCTTAAATATCCCATCACGTACTTTCTTCTTTATACACTAATTAACCTGACATCGCAGTATTAAGGTTACTCTACAAGTAGCACAGTGCTGGTTTTTGTACAGTAAATATGTTTTCTTTTTCTTTTTTCTGTTTGGGGCGCTTATTTTATTCGTAATGAAATATTTATACATAATCTTTTCAAATGAAGGGCTATCCTGGTGACTGGGAATCGGCAGACATTGATTACGAATTGGAAGATTGTACCAGCCAGACAGTCGACGCCGCCATCGATATCGTGGGGGCCATGCCGTACCAAGAGAGAGCTGTGACCGGACACAGGCTAAACGATATGCTGCTCATGTGCACGTTCCAACAGAAGCCCTGCTCCCCAAAGTGAGAAGATTGCGTCATTTCTTGTTCATTGACTGACCAAGCGCCCAATCTGTTCCAATAGTCTCCTGTGCATGGTTGTGAACCGTGGTTTGGCTTCATACGTGTGATTGCATATATAGCTCAATAGTCGATTACTGGAAGGAGTTTCATGATTGCGCGCAGCGAAGCCAATAAGAATGGAACATTCCATTGGAATGGAATGCTCCACCTTTTGCAAAATGGAAGAGTTCTTCCCATGGCATGAATATGAGACATGCGTTACCCTGTTTTAGGCCACGCCCGAATAAAACCCCGCCTTCCCTACGTGGCCATCCCCTGCACAAATCACCCATCCTTGCATGAACTAGGCCTATACAAGTTCACAAATATCTTTGTTATTGAGTAATATTCATTAAGGTTTTCAAGGAATGATTCCATGACATGGGCGGTAGGCTTATAATTGTGGCATTTATTTCATATAACTTTTTTTGCAGTGAGGTTCCATTTGAGTTTGCTACATGCATCTTTAAGGAAAAGAAATGAAATGTGAAAAATTCTCTTTGCAATACTAAAAAGGGCTCCTTGTTTGGAGGAATGTCACGACCCCTGTTGTCCCTCCCCTCCGCCCTCAAATGCACGTGACTGAGCGTTAACCAATCAGATGAAGTGCGCTTCTTTAAGGCGCAGTTCTAATTCAGAGAATACACGCAGCGTGTGCCGATAAGAAGGGCCTCTAAATACGAGTTTGTGCCAGATACGCGCAGTATTATGCTCCGCGTTGTGTGTCACTTTCAATCTCCCTCACAGCAATGTAAAGGAGAAAGATAGCGAGGTGAACCAACTGCGGGCGGAGAATGACAAACTGCGATCGGCCCACGGGTCCAAGCCTCCGCCCAAAAAACAAATGCATTGAAGAAAATCAATGAAGATCACGTCTGCGAAAGAAACAGGAATTACTGGTATCGTATAATTAATCTCGAAAGCACCTTGACAAAATGTCTGTGGGAAGTCAACACATAGAAGGTTCCCTTTAGGCCTATTTAGCAATCGTGCAGCCAATTTGAATTTGTTGATTTCACGTTAACGATTTAATATTATGTGTGGCAACAGAAGACGTTATGAAGAAAATAAAATAAGGTTTAAAAACTCGGGTACTTTCGCGCAAATAAGATTTAAAACCTTTGGTTTGTTCGACTTCGTTTCACTGGATGCAGCTGTCTTTAGAAGACAGTTGTTACTGTGGCCGTTTTCATAACCAGGGATTTGGAAGACAAAAAGTGACATGAACGGTTATGTATGGTGCCTTTTTCCAAAGACACGTTCTGGTAATTAATTTGCCCTGTTACATCGTCGACCTTGGAGTACATTAGCTTATTTAATTCTCGTGGCGTGCAGAGTGAGCGACGTTTATGTTAATAGGCTTAGAAATATAATTATTACAAACTTGGCCCACGACCCTCCATACTCATCAATCACGATACGGTGTAATCCATCATCAATGGAAGGCCTGGAGCGAAAGATTTTGACGGGGAAAGGTACTACTAGCCAAAGTTGACAAGCAGAATTGCTTCTACCCCAGAGTCTGGGGATAATGGAGTCACCTCGAAGACAACCCAGTCACCTACAGGGCGGGAAATTGGTACCCTGAGCCCTGGCACGTACGAGTGTTACGTAAGCCTTACTCCGTCCAGGGCATGGGTACCAGTAGACTGTATGCGACTGCCGTCTTGAATTGAAAGGGGGTAAACCTTTTCATTTTCGTAAGCTGAGAGAAATCTACAGCGACGAAATAAAAGTCCAATACGCCTTCACGTCGCTTTTTCTTCAGAATAATGCATCATTTCTGACAAATTATATCAAAGTTGAAACGGGGCTTGGAATCCAACATCGTGTGGCACCACCCCGTCAAATAGGTTACATTACATGTAATTAATTCAGGAAAGAAGATAAAAATGGATTCCCCTTGAATCAGGTCTATTTCATCGTGCTTGTTAAGCGCGCTTTGCATGTCATGTTTGCACGCGATCTAGTCGTGCGACAACCTATTGGTCGACGATGCATGTAGCGCACGCGCGTACTGTCCATTAAAGCTGTGTTACAGTAGAGATGGCTTCTAAATTATGGTTGTCGAATAAACGCGACATGCTTCTCCGATGTAAGCGTTGTTTGGACGTGTTCACGGAAATACAATGGTTTTAAAGGGACGTTCTATATGAAAAACATTATTGTCAGCACTGCCAAACAAATTTTTTCGAGGGAACAACAATATTTCGTTAAGGGAACCACCATTTGGAACAAGAAAATATTGTTAAGTGAACAAAACATTTTGTTGATTTTGTTAACCAATGAATGTTTGAGTGAGTGTTTCCCGCAGTTTACAACACATGCTGCTATTGCTTTAAACACGCCCCTGGGAGTCTTCATGCCTGTTGATGGTTTCCTTTCCCATCATACTGAAAACTGCCTCGTCTCTTTGTATATTCTCTGCAACAGTGTTGTTTCAGTGTACTTCCTCCATTAGACTAGAATTTGTTGTTCTTCTGAAATTGGGTTGAGGTTCTCAACAAAATCTGTTCTTCCTTCGGCAACATTTGTTTGCCGACAGCAGATTTCTTAGTACCCTGTCCCCTTTAAAACAACCGTACCAGAAGGATTTTGGAGAACGAGAGAAAAATACCAGACGTTACTGCTTGAAAATGCTCTACTCAGAAGAGAAGGTTTCAAAGAGTGGAAGCGATTTGAATCTTCATGGTGTGTGACTTCGAGCTCTTTCCTCTTGAATTCCCTTATAGCCGGATTGTGCATATTTCGGTCGACAGGAAATTGTCAAAGCCTGAGCCTTACATGTGCAGACAGGAGTGCAAAGTACTGTGTAATTAGTCCTCGATTGTAGCAGATAAGATATTCGGGGGGATGCCTGCCAAAATTGCGTACTTGAAAGTCTGAGCTGAATTCCTTGTGATTGATGTATTTTATTGTGTCGCACTTATCATTAGGAACTTTACATCCTTCTACAATTCCCGCTACGGCAACTGCTTCACGTTTAATTCCGCCTCTCGGGGCGTGGCACCTCTGAAAGTCACAAGAACAGGACCATCGTATGGTACGTGATCCTTTTTACTGTCGCTGCGGTGTTTAACTCACGACAAAATGGGGATTCACTAGCCGTGTAAATTTCGCATGCCGGTGTGCCGGTCTCAGCGGTCCCCCTTGAATAGCCGGACATTAAACGGACGACTTTCCCGTTGTTGTGTGCAGAGTTGGCATGAAGTATTTTACCATATTTGGTAAGGGGGACTGCTGAGACCGGGAGAAAAACTGAGACCGCCACACCGAAATGACCGGTGCCATGGCAACTCGTGCGCAATATTTGAAGCTTGGGCACTTTACTGAAAAAAAAGTGACAGGAATTCTAGGGAGTTCCCAATTCACACCACACCGGGCAAACCGGTCTTAAACAGCGTGGCCGGTCATAAAAAAGTAAGCAAAACAATATTTATTTCTAACCTCAGTAGAATCTTTGAGCTCACAACACGGCTCGGCATCCTTTTTTTTGGGGGGGGGTAAATGAATTGGAAGGATACACTGAAAAAAGGCACATTTTACACAATTTTTGACAATTGATTGCCCTCTGGTTTCGATGTCAATCAGAAGACACAGTTCAATTTGTAGGTATTTCTATGAAATTCCAAATTTAGTCATGGAAAACACTTCAGAGAAAGAGTCGAATTTACATAACATTGAATCACTAAAGAAAAGGAAAATTAGGCCGTCGAAATACGAATTACTCCAGCACATTGGTATAAAATCAAAGGTGCACAAAATTACTCTTATAAATTAAAACAGACTTTGAAAATGAGGTTATTAAAGAGTCACCAGGTGCATTTGAATGGTTGTAGAAAAATTCACTACATGTTACGTCCACAGCTTAAGAGCAAGATTTGCCAAGGTTTCCTCTCTGTTTGACAGGTCTGTCCATGGAGCTGTATATTCAACAAGATCGCTACATTACTGGTGTGGAGACGGGAGCCGGTATCCGAATCATGGTCCACAACCAGACGGAGATGGCCTTTCCCGAGGACATAGGAGCCAATATCGCCCCCGGTACGGAGAGTTTCCTCGGGCTATATCGGGTATGTACTTTTGACTTCCTTTGAAGAGGTCAAATTACCTTTGTCAGTAAAGTGGAACTTATCTGTAAAATTGAAAAGAGCTTCTTCTTTGGTTGTGACCATTGCTTGATGCCGGACGAATAAATCAATGGCATGTGATCAAAGATCCGACGATTAGACGAGGCAGATTATTTTATTCAGGTATTGGTTAGTAAAAGAGAGTAAGTTTTGCCCAATTTACTTAAAAACCAGACTTTGTATGTGGACAATTTCACAGTTGAAGGTAAATTCTGTCTTCCCCTAAAAGGTCAGTTGCCTTAGCCACTCATTGGCAAAATATTGCGACTAAGGTCCAACGAAACAATAGTATTCAATAATTCAATGAATCCTCACTTCCTTGAAATGGCAGCAAATTGAACTTTCGTTTCATGCTGATGTCAACGTCGTCGCAAAAAAATCTTACAAGGGTTTTTTTTGCTAAAAAAGGTCATCGACCCGTTTGTTTCAGGGTAAGAGTTTTTTGTCAGAAGATTCTCTGATTGCAACGCGAAACGTTAATGTCTCGGCTTCCAGACAATTAAATGCATGCATCCACAAGAAGGACATTAATGAGCGTAATGGTTTTCATTTATTGGGCACTTTTTCGAGCCGTTGTTCGAATCCCTGATATGTTTAAGCCGTGGGTTTCAGAATTGTGTTATTTTTTGAAAATATTGTAACAAAGCATTTAATTTTCAGTATTGAAAATTGTCATTAAAATGCATTTAGTCCAGACACAAAGCTGAGTTTCAGGTTTGAACAGAACTCAAGGCCATCCTATAACGTTTTCAAAAAATTATTTAGCACTCAAAAAAAATTCCTGGGCTACAGGAAAGTTGTGGTCTGATGGCGTGTCACAATGACTGTGTCACTGCATGTTGCACACCTTCAGCGTAGCAGGCTTGTACTTTCTAAACGCTTGTATTTCAGTCCCCATAGGACGCTAGAGATAATTGGTTGCAGTGCTGGGTGGTTCTGCCTACAGGCTTGGCAATTACGCGCCGTTGCAATTCCTGCCATTAATCCTTAATTACTGATTGGAACAGTAAACAGTAAAGCCATTAAACAGTAATGGTCGGCATAGCATGATGCCAAGTCTGAGACGTGCAGACGATAACACTAATTGTTTCATTGAGGGGCGCAGCTTTCCATCTGCAGATACAGATCATGTTTACATTCTAATTCATTCCGGATAGCTTACGAGAAAATATGACGAACATAAGTGGCATTTTATGCAAATCAAAGTACACGCTAAGTAGCTTTTGATAATTCCAAGATATCTCCCACTTTTTCTAGATACAATAACTTGATTTTTTTAAAGATACCGTCAAAGCATATTTGCAGGTGAGCGACGTCTTCGAGATATCCTCAAATAGATTTCGAGATATCTCGACTATTACTTCGACATATCTGGAAAGCGCTTTTGAAGTATCTTGAAACAACAAAACGTTACCGCTTTAACTTAAAAAATGTAATTACTGTAAATTTCAGGTACACTTTGTTGCTACCGGTCACTTCATGCATTCCTTTTTTCCCCTATTCCGACAGTTCCATACTAGCATTCCAACGAGGATGAGAAAAATCCAGATAAACCCATCCCTAATGGGGGGGGTGGTAAATCCAATCCCAATTAAGCATCAAACTTCAGACGAAGATGACATCCTACAAATCCAGAATACAACGCCACCAACCTGCGGGCATTTCTAAAAAGTTTCCCTGTTCGATGTTGTTGGAGTGCCACAACGCTGATGGCATTGCTCGTCTTTGATGGAGACAAAATCCTAGACTTTGGAACACTTTTGGAACACCGATCCAACTACCCATATCCTACTTACTACTTATAAGAACCGTAATGCTAATATATTATCGTGTGATGCAAAATAGGGGGCAAACTTATAATTGTGGCCAGTCGGTGTAACGAAACGTTGCAAGGAGAAGGCTCGAACAAGCCTCACTTATAATTTTCCCTACTGTATTGCATTACACGATAATATCTTAGCATGACAGAGCATGGCTATTTGCTGCACAGGCCTCACTTAAAAGTAGCCGTGGGTAGTCGGATCGGGTGCACCTAAAAATCAGGGGGGGGGGAATTGCCAAACATCGTTTCAGCTATTTTTCTGGAATCGTGAGTCATGCTCAGAGATTTTTGAGCTAATTTCGAATGACACAGCTCACTCTGTGGTCCACAAGACAGCCAGGGACACGCAAAGACGTCACACGACTTTGCGTTGGCCAATCCCAAAGCGCGAAATCTATCCACCCATTCCAATAGACTGCATTCGCAGGGTATCCAATTTCAGTCAGATTCCCCAACGTAGTGTATTTATTTCAAATGTTAATTTTAGATATCCAGACTCTATTTTACGATTTCATTCCAACCCCCGAATCACCTGGTACCATCCGATTTAAGGTTTCAAATGTATATACAATATGTTCCGGAATACGACTGAAATCGGGTATCCTGCCGTACCAATCATGACGGTCTATTATTGGTCAAAGCGTTGTAAACCTTCAGAGGCGCACTATTGTGAATCGCCCGTAGCAGGACTTGCCACATAAAAATAATTGCAGACTGCCAAAATCCCAAAATTATTTCAGCACCCTAGCGAGATTAAAATGTACATAGTTTGTGTTAATTTGAAGGGGTTTCTTTGAGACCATACGCTTTGTGAAACTTTTGTGACTTGTAGCCTTTTTCTTAAAATGACCACTTCTTATTGAACCACTTGAAAGAAAACGACCCCTTATAAAAGGGTCCGTAAGAAGGCATGCTGATCTGTGGGGTAAAAAAGGTAACCAAGGAAGATTCTGTTATTAATTGTAAGCCAACAATTCGCATTGTGCGACTGATTTCATCGCTTTAAAGTGCCATTGAAACCAAACGTAAACATTACAGAACAAAATTCGGCTCCCCTCCCCCCCAAATCCATGTTTTATTGTTCAACCTCCCTCTTACAGGCCATGGTGAACAGATTGTCAGATCCATACGGAGACTGCGCGACCGATTTTACTCAAGATAATATTTTCAAGGAACAGTTTAAGCGTCTTGAGTACACCAAAGAGGTGATTACCTTTGTGATAATTACATGTATAGCATGGGGATTTTTTTTAATGCGAAGGGGAAACAGGGCAATCATCACAAAGGAACTGATAGGATCAACAGTGGAAGACCTTGGAGGAAGGACACTGAAGGAGTTTGAACTGCCCAGGCTATAACTTCTGACCAATTACCACTTTCTCGCATGCCCGGTAGGCCTTGTCCATAGCCAGAGCGCAGCGCACCTCTGCTACTCACCACCTGTTTCCCACCAAAAGCCCCCTTTGTACCCCATGATCATCGCCGCAATTTTTCGTTGGTAATCTGCATCCCTAAGACGTTGTGAACTGCTGTATAGGAAGTTGAATATTCATGCCATCGCTGGTGCTTGATATGAGCTGACCACAACATCAAATTTAGTGCTTGAGCAGTTGCTTTTATTAGGCTGTATACCCGAAGTGTTCATGTGCAGTTGTTGCTCTTACCGAATGCTTTATTCTGGAATTCTTTTGAGACTAAATAACCAAGCTGTTTGTAAGATTTTGAGTTTTATTTTAATCATTTTTATTACGGAATTTACACAAAAAGGTACTATGAGATCCCATGATCACTCCCTGTGATGAAACAGCACATTTTACTTTTCGTGAACTTAACTGTCCTGTGGTGTTCAACGTGTTGTTGGCCAGTCTTGGCCAAACACGTACAAAAACTTTGAAAACTGATGTTTTGGAGTGACAAAATGAAATTACAAACATATGCATGGATAATAGAAAACGGCATCAAAATCTGTAAAAATTATTAAAAACGGCAAAAGTAAATCTAATGTTAGATATTTTCTCTTTCTGTTTCCTGGTCACTGCGATAAGTTGTAGGTAATTCCAAAGAAAACACCTCACTTGTCGGGCTAAGCTGCAGGCAGTACTCAGGTATTTTTGGTATGTTTACTATTATTCGTCTGACTGGGCGGCGATGATCATCAAGCACTTTGATGTGCCAAAGTTGCCCCTCCTCCCGTGTTCTTCCTCCGCGGGAAGACGGTCCATGACGGGGTTTCTGTGTTCATTGCTTTTTATTTGTAGGTTTTTTCTGTTTTCTTTTGTGTCTTTGCATGGTGTGTTTGGTTTTCATTTTGTTATTAGTGTTGTGTTGTGTTGTGTTGTGTTGGCTTTGGCTTGGTTTGGTTTGATTTGTTTGTGGCTTTTTGTTATTTAAAACACATCATGATTTTCAAGCTTTGGTTGTTTGGGCAATTTTAATAAATCTGCTCAAAAAGCGAATGCAGGTAACTTATAAGGGTCTTCACATGCCCGGTGACAACGAAATAGGCCGTTAGAATACTTTGGCATACCCTTCATAATTTTAGTTGCACGAGAGGGTATTCAATTGTAAGTAAAATAGAGAAATTTGAAGCAACTGCATGTATACTGTTCCCTTTGGATCCGTTGAAATGGCACCTAAATTATACGGTCAGAAAAAAGCAATCCCAGTGAAACGTATATTAGGCGAGATCTGTTAATGTTATTGCTCGATTTGTCGGAGCTATCAGCCAATTGCATTTTATTTGCTATTCACCATTGTGTAAGATTGTTCATGAATAATCATAGAAATCGGCCTATGGCGCCAAGCGATCGCGTAGTCATGCTGATTGGCTGATCGCTAACCGTATTTATGGTCTTTTTATAGGCGTGTGAGAAAGACTGCTTCTTTCGTGCTGTCCTCTTAGACTGTAACTGTGCCTACATTAATTACAGATATAACGACTCCCAGGCACCTTGTAACTCATCAGTAAAGGGTGAGTCTTTTTCAGCGCTATGCGTCCCAAACCTTTTTCTTTCTTTTTTTTCTTTCTTGTTTTTTTTCTTTTTCAGTAGCTCTCATCATCTTTGTGGAAAAATACAGTCGCATTGATTCCCTTTCTGTTTCTCCACATCTCTGCAGCTGTAAAAACTTGTATCGAGAAGGTTGAAAACAACTTCACCAGCGGCGAATTACGATGCGGCCATTGCCACAAGAGTTGCAAGTACGTTGGGTTTTTTTTTTGGGGGGGGGGGAGATGGGATCTCTCAGTCAGATCCATTGACGCTGATCTAGTCAACTAAGAGAGAACTGGGGAATGAGGTCCGAGCAAGGCCAAGAGAGGGGGTAAATTTTAAGAACTACGAAGGCTCCTAAATTGGGTGAGAACTACGCTTCGCGGGTTCACGAACAACTGTAAAACACGTGCGTTTGCGGTCGCGAAGTTGCCAACAAAAGTCGCTTGGTTCAGTGCGGGGTTCATTCCCTGACCAGGGGTTGTTACTAAAAGGAATAATGGGGTGTAGGATAAATGTTGTAGTCGGCAAAAAAGCATCATTTCTAGTAAAATCGCGATCCAGTAAAATCTAGTAAAGTAGACGTAGAAATGTTGTGGTTTTTTTTTCTAAGAAAGGCGCCCCTTTATGGAAAAACTATATATCTACTTGTAGTAATGGGATCACTGAAACCTGTAAGTTGAACATATCCCGCGCAGTGTGTTACCGGAAAAGATGAAGCGCGGTTTGTAGTCGTGCAGCTTTCCTTTTTGAATCCCTCGATAAATTCCACATTGATCGTTTTTTTCATGTTTAAAAAAAAAACTTACCCCTTGTTGGTTTTTGTTCTGTTGTTCTTTGCCACAGTGAGACACGATACCAAATCAGCTTCAGTAACTCGAAGTGGCCAAACCGTGAATACATGGTAAGCAGTTTACCCCAAAGGCACTTTTTTCATCCTGTCTTCACATGTGTTTTGGAATAAACTTTTGTAATTTTTGGCAGTCAACTTTGGAGACACCTCGTGTCACACTTTCCGGAAAGTTGAGAAAGTAAACCGACGGCATAATACAAAACAAACTCTTTCACCGCCGTGCAATGAAAGATAGCTTAAAGTTTTATATGCCACTCGTCTTCGTCTCGTGGAATGGAATATTTCCTAATTATTTTCCTCTATCACCTCATCGAATTATTCTTACCATTGCAGGAATGAGCAAAAGTCGGTTTTGTTTCATATAATACCGACAGCTGCACGAGTCCTCGTCGTACTTTGCTACGAGGTCCGTTATTCCCTCATCTTTTAGTAGAACAAACAGTCCTCGCGTATTATCGTACGCCATAGTGCGTAACGGATTCGCGCCATGTTTGTGTCCGAAATGCCAACCGCTGGAGGTACCATGCATTGTTAGCAGGTTCCCGTCCCAACATTGCTGTCTTACTTTAAATGAAATAATATATGAAATGGGAGCGGGAACTCGTCAGGTAAAACGATGTTCTGTTCAACGGGTACTGTGAAATGGAACGAATGGTTCACTGGCACAATCCAACAATCAGATGACAGAGATTTAAGAACATAAATTATTATATAAAACGTTTGATATGTCCCTTCATGAAATCAGTCTTATCATTGCACTCACGTGAAATGCCCTGTCTGAAACTCCGCGTCTTTTCAAAGTAATGTATACCGCGTTTACATCCACATTGCTCACGTGAGAGCAACACAGTGCATTCTACGCGTAAGTAGATAATGCTGGTATGTCCCGTATTCTTAGCGGCTATATTTCTCTGGTTTCAGGAAACAGTTAGAAAGAACATACAAGAATCGAACAAGGAGACCATCTCGTTGATCAAAAATAACAGTTACTTTATCGAGTAAGTATTACTTTTCTTACGTGTAAAAAGCTTTCGATTAGTGACGGCATCCCTCAGAATGCTACGGGCAGAAACCTTAAGTGTTTTCAGAATAAGTTCTTTTAATATTCCAACTACCCATTTCATGATGTGTAAAGGGTTTGCCGAGTCGGATTTGGGGACCTAACATGCATGAAACGAATGTGCGTGCACGTATATGTCCTCTTAAATTGACGATTGCCAATTAATAAATGAACAAAAATGTATGCAACCTACAGTTTGTTTTTTCCAGTGCCCCCCCCCCATAGTACAAATACAAAGTACCGTACGCTCTCCAAATGCCTACAAGGGAAATTTCTGACCGGTTATGTTACTGGTTGGTGTTCTGTTCTGGGAAAGTGCGCCCCAAGTGTTTGTATAAAGCAGTTTCATACAGTTCATTACCTAGTCCTGTCTGGTCTTCGTTGTTTATGGGCATTATCCCTCCAATAATGAACTTAAAGCCACGTAAATGTTATTTGCACTTGAAACAAGAGCATAAATTGTAAGGAGGTTACAAATCCAGCCCACTTTATGACCAAGGAGATGGGTTGTTGAATCCAACCTCCCCTTCCACTTTTTTGTTCTGAGAAAAAAATGAAGCAAATTGTGGAGATTTTTTTCGCTACTCGGTAGTACTCAAAAAGGGAGAACTACGGTTCTGCAGGGCTATGCTACATATAAGTATGGATGTGCATCTGTCATGTGAACATCGCCCCTCAGTGTCGTATGATGTCAGCAACCCCCCCCCCAGTTTTCAATTGCCATGACTAGGCAATTTAACTCCCCCCCCCCAAAAAAAAAAATCTCTCTGGTTCCCGGCACAGTGTTTTGCCAATGCTCGAAAGGAGCCGTTGGGTACATTTGATGAAAGGCCTTCTCGTGATGCGCCTCACCAATACCAGCATTTCCGTAATAGCACTTGGTTGCCAGTCGTTCAAGGCAGACCGCAAGGGATCGTGGTCGATGTGGTATGAGCCCCGAGCTTGACCAAGAGAGGTCGCAATTGCCCTAGCAAAGGAAACCCCTTGGTACTCCACCAACATAGCTCTTTTTAACCGAACAGGGAGTGCTTCTGCTCTTTATCTCTTCCAACTACAGGAAAGGTCTTAAATCTCCATAGGTACGCATAATAGGAGGTTTTATGTTCAAGCTGTGCTTTGTCATAAACATTTGCAAAATAATCCACTATGCACCCGGTTGTGGAATTACTGATTACTACCAACTATTTATCTATTATTTATTATTATTATTTTGGCAGAGACAACGTACTTCGGGTCAACGTCTATTTCGACTCCCTGAACTACGATGACATTTTCCAGACAGCAGCTTACACTGTGAGTGTCTGTAGCTATGAAGAAACCCTTTGACTTACGCGTAATGACCGATTCATCCCACTGACTTTCTTTCACGTTATTCACAACACGTACTGAATGACAAGAGGACATACCATACTGTGCCGTGTTTTTTAGGGGATGGAAACTTACTTCTGGTGCGAGAAAGGCGAGGCATACCTTTACCGTGATATTCGATTGTTTTCTAATAGTTTTCGAGAGCAGTGTGCCCGGTTTTAGCTTACAGATTAGTGATACAACAGTTATGGTTATGATCACCTATCGGTACGGGATTTTGTTCAGTGGAAGGGTCCAATACAGTGACTTGGACACTTTAGAAATAGTTTAAGACTCTAGCCAAGCATATTAGATTTATTCACATCTACATTACGTAAATTTAGATTTGATTCTATCAGCGCAGATTCTGTTGGCACGGTTCCAAGACATACGCAGACTCCGCGAAACTTAAAAATCATTTATATGAATTCAAAATTCAGACAAAGAAATCGTACTTAACAAATTCAGAAAATAAACAAATAACAGGGACCTATATACCCAGGCATAAATCCCGGGGGGTGGGGTATATCCCCCACTTTTGGAGGGGGTGGGCTATTGAATCACTTGCCCCTCCCTCCCACTTTTTTGTAGTGAGTATAAAAATCAGAAGGACTTGCTGGAAATTGTGGGACTTCCAGCGACCGGAATGCGTTCAATATCACTCAAAATGAAAAACAAGTTTTAAAATATTCAGCCATGAATATGCCATTCAGAGTACATATCGACATCGACCTCCATATAGAGTAATGAAGTCCCCCCCCCCCATTTCAAAGTTTCATAGTCGAGCTATTGTCATAGCCCACCTGTTAGCATCCCCCATCCGCCCAATTCCCGCACATATTTACGCCACTACCTTTATATGTTTCTATCACACACGTATTATATTCAACTTTCGACACCTCGGTGGAACAGAGTTGGTACATCCGTTTCATTGTGATGGGAAACTTTGTGACGCTTGGTGGCGGCAAACATACCAGTCCAGCCCTATCATATCATGTAGCACTCCTGAGCATGCGCACGTAGTTTTGAGCTTGAGTGCACGATAAGAAGGGCTGGTATGTCAGCTGCCACCAGCGTTTCAAAGTCTCTCGTTCCATATATTGTTGCCGTCTTCAGATTGAGGATATGTATTTGGTGAAATTACTCATCGATTTCTGGTTTCGACTCTTTCAGCTTGGTTCACTAGTCAGCGATCTGGGTGGTCAAGTTGGGCTATGGATCGGTGTGTCGGTGTTGACTTTGTTCGAATTCCTGGAGCTGATGATAGACATCTTCGTTCTCATCTCGACCAGGTGCCGCGCCGGGGGAGAGAACAGACGGATCGGCAAGACGGGGCAAGAGAACAGCAGACCCCAGGCATGAGTAGGGACAAATGGCGTAGAAAAATCCATCTGGGTCGAGGGTGGTGGGGGATCGATCAGGACCAGTCCTAAATCTGCTCAGATGTGGAAAATCGATAAGTGGGGTGGGGGTGATGAACACAACAGAAGAGCTGCATATGAAAAGATTAGTGCCAACTTCACACTTAGGAACCAAACTTCAGACTTTGGAATGGCGGTTCATTGTGTGTCCAGTACAACATGCATCTATGGTGGTCTAATTTTCCATGTGCACTGGCACGTTTATTCCACCATTTGATTCCATGACGCACACGGCTCTGCATTACAGGACTGTTGTCCTTGAGGCAACTGTGCATGCCACCAAAACCTTCCACTGAGGCGACAAACGTAAGTCTGTGAACTCTCTTTTACCACTTAAAACCTCGATAAATAACCCCAAATAAGCTTTTTAGGGTCAACCCCAAAATACGTCTTGGGGACTTTGAACTGGCCTATACCCACGGTCCAATATAAAGGGTGTAATCAGTATTTCGCCTGCATCCCACGGGGGATCTACGACCATGAGAGGCAGTCACTGTCACAGATTGAAGTCTCACTCTGCAGTCTTCCTAGAAATCTCACAACAAAACAGTTCGTATGTTTGGCGTAAAGTCTCTTTCCTCATAAAGACGTGCGGGGTGAATCTGCATCTTTGGCAATCCTCCGCAGTCCACAATCATGTTTTCTTAGCCCCAGAAATGTGGAGCTGCACACAACCTCGTCGGGACAAATCCCCCCCCATTCTAGATCTCACCTTTCCCGTGACCGAACAACGAGAAGTTGGGATTTGATTGCGTTGGCTCAGAATACATGTGTGTGAAGAGGACCTTCATTCGTTATGAAAAGAAAAAGAGAGGAGTAGGGCTGGAATTAGACGTTGGGACCGATGAATTATATAAAATTTAGTTTAAACAGGTTGCAATTATAGCAATAGCAATGATATAGTAATATTTATCAGGGCTCAGCTGTACATATATAAGCCTGTTGTTTATTTAGTAATGGCTTTTAAAAAATATACTAGTAACGGTAACGTAACTAACTATAGATGACCTGAAATACATAGAGGCCTTCGCCATTAAGAAAGATTTAAGGGTAGGACGAGATTTCAAGCCCTCCAATTTTTTTATTTTTCAAATTCGAGTCGTTCATTAACTGTAAAGCAAAAGACTTTACATGTAACTATTTTGGGTACAGCGAACTGGGTTTATAGCGGATTATTTGAAGTTGTGCAAAGTTTTGGAGAGCGCCCTCGAGCGGGAATAACGGGAGAGCTGTTGAACCGAGAAGAGACGAAGAGTTGGGCAGGCTGGGGATGAATTATGCATGCACCGTCAAGCATACCCAGCAGGATATTGTAATTAAGGGTCTCATAGCATACACGTACGCCTTATACCCCATGGGATATTTTACTTATATACTGCACCGCCGGGAAATCTAAAAGTACTTTCCAATATTCAGTGTCCTACCTCCACGTTGAAACACAAAAGAAGACACAAGAGGGTCGTTCACGTTTGCCACATATCGCGCATCATACGACCTTCCAAATATGGAAACGCCGTGGGTTGTCCTGTGAGATTTGTTTAGCTAAGTGGGAGACACATATAGACCCTCTCTCGATAAAGGACTCTGGGAGTACACGGCCATTATTGAAAAATAAGCAGCGACGTTGTGGAATAACGCAGATTGACATCGGGTATTGTCAGGCGAAGGTCACAGAAACCTTGAACTGATAGCACGGTGCTTTTGTATGGGAATCGAGCAAAAGTAATCAACTTAGGGCAGCTCGTGGGAACGAGATACTGTATTTGGTGATTTTGCTTTGATTTGTAAATTATTATGATATCATTTGCAAGGTGATAATATCTTTTGCTGTACATAAAAAATACAACTGATGTACCTGTAAACCAGTCATCTTTTCAGGAATAAAACTAACCAATGTGTAAATATTCGGCTCAGAAAAAAAGTGTTGAGTAACTTTAGGTGTTATTTGGTTCTATTGATCCACTTAATGGGAAATGATAAATACTTTCACGGAGCACATTTGTAAAACATATCCTGATTCCATTTGTTCTATTTCTGCTGAGTAATATTTTCGTGCGGATGATTCATATTTTTAAGGAGAAAAAACGTTTGCTGGTTTTGTTTTGGCATTTTGGGGGGGTGTTTTTGTTGTTTTGTCTTGTTTTTTGTTTTGTTTTTTTTGTTTTTTTGTTTTTGTTTTTTTTTGGGGGGAAGGTCTTGATCCCTGCAGTTCCAGTTGTTCGTTTGTACTGGAAAAAAGTCCACATCGTTTGGAGTTGGGTGGATAGAGATGGACAAGGTCAACGGTACCACAGAATAAATACGACTCCGTTGAAATTACAACTGAGCGGATGACCTTCGTGGCCCATTCAAACTCAGAGTTTTCGGGGAGCTGTGACATTTGTTTGTTTGGGGGGGTTATTTTGCTGAGAATATAACCATGACGCTGTTTTGAAAAAATGACCAATGGTCGTTATAGTAACTGCATGCGTCACGGATCCGGCGCACAAAAAACTGCTGGGCAATTGTCGGATTGTTGAGAGCAATCTTGAACAGGTTATGTGAACAAAAGTTGGTCTCTTTTGTGTGCGTAAACCGTTTCTAACGAGCTGAGTAGTTGGGTGTTTTTTTTCTCTCTCTCTGTGGAGTTGCTTTGGAGTGTTTCATGCAGAACGTCACTGCTGATATCCAAAAAACACTCCAGACCACACTGTTACTTATACAAGTCACCCCATTACCTTGCCAACAAACCCATCTAGACTGCGTGTACATTAAGGCAATTCCGCCAAACGCCGGACTTCAGGAAATTGGCTGTGAACAACAGGAAACAGAAGAATGGACCGCCATGGCAAGCCAGTGGTAATTAACTGCACTTAGGACATCAGCACAGGACCACTAACTGCAGCGACAGGAAGATCACATCCCCGTGAAGAATGTATGTGAAATAAGCGTATTTTCTTTGTGAGTTTGACGCTAGTTAGGGGTGGAAGTTTTACATGATAGTCACGATTTACCACGTCATGTCTCTCGTGTTAAAGCGGTAGGCGTCCTTATCGTCTTTGATTGATTAACAGCGCAAACACAGTTATCTGTCCGTGGTAAGGTACTGAACTGTAGGACATTGGGGCTTGATCCGTTGTGCTGCCTTCTTTGTTGTCTTGTGTGATATAAAGAAGGATTTTAATAACAAAGTTGCATTCACGGGTGACGACTGTACTGGCCTTGGACACATGTATCGATCGGAGGCAGCCTCGCCCGAAAGGTGGCAGGCCGCGGCGTCCGATCAACACAAATACAGGCCAGAACTGAACAACCACAATTCCGACGGCTGGACTTCAGCGGAGAACGGGCAGCAAGCCGCCACCGATAGCAACGCCATCAACACCCCCTTCCAACCGGCCGCCATGTCGCGCAGGACCTCGAGGGGCTTCAAGCGTGGGGAGTCCCTCATCGAGGACGACAGAAGGAGAGACTGGGACCGATTCCCGCAGCAAGAGCCCCGTCATCTTCAGCAGCAGAAGCCGGGCATTACCGACGAGGAGCGGCTGGCCAAGACCAGCGTGGCCCAGTCCCTCGTTCTCTCCCTCCTGGAGAATACGGGCGCCCACGGCATCCCCAATATCAAACGGGCCCCCAACAACGTCCGCAAGGTCTTCTGGACAATACTGTTTTTCTTCGGACTGGGGATGTTCATCTGGCAGACGTCCTGGCTCCTGGAGAGGTATTACGCCTTCGGTGTGGACGTCAAGATGGAAATCTCCAGCGACAGGATGGTGGAATTCCCCGCCGTCACTATCTGCAACTTGAACCCTATCAAGAGTGACTTTTGGGAAGAGCTCGACGAGCGAGGAATACCCATTCCGCCAAGCCTAACTCGCCCGAACACAGTAAGAACATTTTACTGATTGATTTTGAAGGTCAGTGGCGCAGGCTAACTAGTATAAGGAGGAGGGGCATAGAGGCGTCACGGAGCCTCCTCCCGAGGCACGTGCACATACCCCCACCCTTTTGGTCCAGCCCCCTGCCAGGAAATTAGAGCTAAAATCCAGTGGTAGTCCACTTTGGACAGTGTTTGACCGTTCAATCCATGATAACGAGATAGTGAAGATTCTAACGTGCCCTCTTCCATGAAAGTGTCCCCTGCAAAATGTACCCCAGTAACGCCTCTGATGAAATCCCACTTTATTTCTGACTTTTATTAAAATGGTTTCAAATCTGTGTTAATAATTCTTTAATAATTTCATTTAAAAAATTCGGTGATTTTATCGTTATGTCACTCCTCTCTGAAGTGTGTCAAAAAGCCTCAAAGTTAACCTCAATCGCCAGAAAGCGCGTACAGATTGCCCATACAAACAGAAGTACTTTTCAAAAGGAAGATTATCTCCCTACCCCGAAAATTTACTTCTCGTTTAGTAGGCCCTTACAGGAGGCGAAACGAGAAGAGAAAAAAGCAATCTTTCTACCAAAGTAGGCAAAACTCTTATAGTCACCTCCGGAAAACCAGTGCATCAAACACCTCGATGTTAAAAAGAATAAAAAGAAAATCTTTCCATCCCATCCATCCCGCACAAACCTAAACAGCACTGTAAACTACCACCAAAGTTTATTCCTGAAATTGAATGAAACAATGTTGAGAATAAAGATAATGTTGTTGTTACGTGAGATGGGGAAGTTACAGCCATGTTGTGAAATGCACAACCCTCACCGGCACATATTTCAAACGATTAACGAAAAAAAATGTTATATTTCAACTCCAACAGGCCTGAAATGACAACCTCAACTCGACAAAAGCCCAGCCCGTCCAATGCTGCCCTGTGTAATGGCAATAAATTACCACAATTCTTGTGGAATGTCAATTCTTGTCTGGAATTCTCGTGTAATGACATCAGTGATGCATTTTTCCAAGTTCACTTTTCCACGGAGACAGCAAGGTCTTGTTTTGGTTTCACAAGCAAAGGGGAAGTCTGTAATACCTGAGTATCTTTCCGGTACAGGGCTACGGTCCTGACGACTCCGAGGAGGAATTCGACGACGCATTCGAGATGCTCGGAGATGCCATTGAGCTCGTGACCGCCTTCAAGTACAAAGACAGGCGGACGGCCGGCCACCTCCTGAGGGACATGCTGGTGAGGTGCGTCTTCCAGGGAAGACCATGCCACGCCAGGTCAGTGCATCTGTCATTACTAGTGGTGTGCACGCTTGGAAATGGTGGGAGATGTCGCTAAGTATTGCGGTACGTGTGCTTATAAAAGATTGTGGAGTGTGTAAAAAAGAGCAAGGTCGAACGGTTGGAGAATTCAGTGTTGGCTCCATGTATGCCCAATTCTGCAGACAAGAAGAGAAATTAGGCTAACGCTTGGCCTAAACCATTGCATTGGTCAAATCAATGCTCAAATCATTACAAAGCGTACCTGCTTCTCAAGCAAATGTTATTATAATGCAAGTGACGAACTCGTCCGTTGTGCGCCGTGTCCGTGGAAATAAGTACACGTACTTCAAACTGTTAGAATATCTGTTAACTGTGCGATAACACACAGTGGTTTTCATGTCGTATCGGCCTTGCAGGGATTTCACTTACTTTTTCCACTATCTCTACGGTAACTGCTACATTTTCAATGCCGGACCAGAGCCCAACGCCACAACGCCGAGGTTATTTGTGACAAAAGCTGGCCCACTTTATGGTATGTTCAGTGCGGTTGTTGCACTCAATTTCACATTGTACTGCATTAATTAATAACGGAAGTCTTATCTGTGTTTGTTTATTGGGTTTCAATTAACATGAAGCCTTCATGGTTCTGGAGATATAAGTTAGAATTATAAGCGAAAACACACAGCAATTTGTTTGCATCTCATTTTTTTTCTTTTTAGACATGGGCTATTGAAAATCACGGTGCTATCGGAAAACGGTGCAATTGCTTGTTTTGAGCTTGTTTTATTTTAAAGTCATGAAAAAAAATTAAAAACTGTCATGTCTAAGGATTAGAAAAGGAAATATAAAACAAGAAAATCTAAAAACACACCAAAAACCATGTCTTATTATTCCCTACACCCTTCGTGTTGTTCAGGCTTAACTTTGGAGCTGTATATTGAGCAAGACCAGTACATTGAAGACATCCAACCAGCGGCCGGGGCAAGGGTCGTTGTGCATGCGCGTCACAATATGCCCTTCCCTGACGACGAGGGAGTGAGCGTGTCGCCCGGTCAGGAGACATTCATTGGTTTCAAAAGGGTGGGTACAGCCGAAGACAACCAAACAAGCAAATAAAACCATAGCAATAATAAAACAAACATAAATAAAACAAAAACCAAAAACTCTAGAAGAACTGTCGAGATTGTTTGAAGTGTCTGTTGCATGAATCCTTTCTGTTAATTCAACTATTCAGGGTAAACCGTTTCACTCGCGTCTGACCCAGAAAATTTCACTCGCAGTAAAATGAATTTGGGGAACAATTTTATCCTGGAATCTCTTTGCTAAATAAACCACTCGTCCCTTTACCGTACGTCTAGGCTGGGTCGTGTTTGAGCTTCCAGGCGTGAAAGGTTATTTTTGGTTTCAGAATATAGTAGGTTATGAGGAGTGCAGAAGTGCTATAGAATTGTGTCGGATTGGTGTTTATTCTCTTCGTTGTATTTTGCAGTCAGGTGAGTGTAATGAAATTCATATTCAAAGGAAAGATGCCACTTGTCACTGGTCAGACTGAATATTAATGATTAATGAATAACTAATAAATGCAATGTTGTAATCAATATTTATGAATATGGATCACTGAATAGTCTATATTGCCAGCGGTTGTGTTAGAAACCATCTGTCAATACTGATGGTTTGGGAGATTTTCTTTGGCCAAATTTATTTGATTTATTGGAAAAAAAAAGCCTATTTGCCACCGTCGGCCCTCCACTTTTCTGAAACGTAGTTCTTATGTCATCGGGATAAAAATTACTATTTGTAGCCTAAAAACCCACCTTATGCATCATTCTAACACACTTTGGACTGTTGTGGTTGGAAACGAATGTCTATTCGTCGTCCCTATGTGTTTATTTCACTTTTCTACACTTTCATTTGGTGTCTTATTTATGGAATCAACATGGTGGCCTTTAGAGGACACTATGATTAAATCGCTTCTTTTATTATTCCTTCTTTGGGTTACTGGTTCTTGATATCCTTTCATGTAGACTAACTTCACGCGTCTGCCCCATCCATACTCCAACTGCACTGTGGTAGAGAACGCCAATGCTACAATATTCAATCTTCCGCTGCCTCACGTGAGATACTCTCAGCGGGTACGTTTTGCCATGTCCAGGCAAATGATTATTTTTAGTAACTTCAGAACCCGTTTAATGCGTAGATGCGATGGATTCTTTCATGCACATCTTCAAAATGGACCTTAATAATTGTGTCTCACCAAACCTCCTGTTCGATGTTTTATTGTTCCGAAGGCATTTCATTTCCTTTTTGGTTTTTTTCTGAGTTCAACAGCTTATTATATTTTCTACAACGTTTTACATAACGTGTGCAATCATGTACATCAACAAGACTAGATGCAAATATTCAATTTATAGGAAACATTTAAGTAAAATGGCACCTGTATAACCAGCCTTGCAAGAAATGCACTCCTGGTACCAGCAAGAATTATGATTGCAATGGGGAGCCAATTTTTGTGGAATTTGGGATTTCTGTGTGAAACAATTTATGGACTGTTTGGTGTTTGTTTCATTATTTCAAAGGGCATTTCATAGCAACTTCGGGCATCTTTACACACTTTCGGGAGTAAGGGAAATGTATGTACCCCACCCAAACAATCGCCGTTTCCTTTTTCCGTTTAATAAATCTCCTGGATTCGCCCGTGGGTACCGATTGTTTCCTGCGACCAACTTGTCATCTCATGCAGTATCGTACCAATGACTGATTGTCCATGCATCTTCTCCACACTCTAAAGAAAAAAAAACTGGATCAACATTACCGTGTGACTCATTCTTTCCAACTCGATTTTAATTTCCCCGTAGGCGTGTGAAAACAACTGTTACTATCAGAACCTGACCAGGGTGTGCGGCTGCGCCGATGTGAGGTTCCGATATGACGATAACGTACCTCTGTGCCTCAACAGCACCCAAGGTAAAGCAAGGTTGTATTTGAGCGCAGTCGCTCTGTCTCAACTCTCACCTTCCATTATCCTCTCGAAAGTTTTCCGCGGGACTTCTTGCTTTTGTACGGTGGTATATTGCCTTTTGCCAATCCAGAGAATCTGGAGTGGGGTAACTTGGGGGTCACGGAAAATTGGAAAATGAGGTTGCTGACATACACCCTGAAACTTACATGTAGGCTGTTTATAGTTTTTTTCTAAATTTATTTTGGGAGGTTTTTTTCTCTCCCATAATGCAGTGCTATACTGAGTACATGTTGGTTGTTGGGAGTTGCGAACAATTCAACAGAGTCTGTTTTCATGTTTTTTCATCTCGAAAAAGCTAAGGGTGATTGAATAGCCCATCCTCCAGTCAAAACATAGGGTGTATAAACCCTATTCCCGGCGACTTACGCGCTAGCTTGTCTGTAGTTAATCTGTTCTGGCATTTGTTTTTTCATTGCTAGCTGAAACTTTTCACAAAATATGTAATCTTCTATAAATTTCCGTCTAAAGACCAACTACTTATATTTGTCTGAACTTTAGAAAACACATGTTCAAAGCTCGTTCCTTTGAGGAATAATGTCTTTGGTTTTTTTCACCTAGCTTCCGATTGTTGGCACACCATTAATATTTTAGTTTGCAAGTCAAAACGACTGTTTCTCACGGCATTATTCAACCTAGAAAAAAAGCCACCTGTAGTCTCACTTCCAGCATTTCCTCAGGCTTCCCATTTCCAGTGTTTCCGTCCGATACAATATAGTGTTACTCCATCGATTTTAAGGTATCTCTGGAGTTGAAGAACGTCTTAAGAGGGCCAGTACTGTCGGGAATACTCCGCAGTGTCTAAACAAAATATTATAAAAAGCATTCTGAATTTCGGATAAACCAACTCTTTGCGTGGTCCTTATTTTAAAGGGTTTATGCATTTTTTTCAGTGACAACCTAAAAGATTCAATAGCAAAACTGGGATGTCTTCCCAAGGGGAAAACTCATTATTGACATGAATCTTTTGCACCGAGAAGGGTGATTTTTTTCCCACTTTTGCTGTCATAGATGTTGTTTTGTTGGGTGATTCATTGTTGACTAATGCTGATGTCAACGTGTCGAGGAGGTCTCAACGATTCGGTTGTTCTGCACTGCACAAGAGTGTCAAGTTGCAGAAACGGTTCCATTGAGATCAATTCATCGCATGGACCATGTGTATGCTATAAACAGAAAATTATTGAAGGTGTGGTTCCTTGAATAATGTGAGTCTTTTATGAAAACCTTGTACTTCTAAGGAAAACCGTCTTAATAGGAAACAGCCGATTTCTAGGAGTATACCTCTCCTGTCTCTTGACATTCAGTAACTTCTTGATCATGTCATTTGCATATCTAAACAGAGCAGTGCCTAGAAGGTGTTGAGCGCATGTACCTCGCGGGAATGCTGGACTGCATGTGCTCGCCTCCATGCAGGTAAACCACACCTATGTTTTGTGGATTTTTTTTGGGGGGGTGCGGGGTCAAGTATATGTCGATGTTCAACTTTGATGGCAAATTTTCCCATTAGCAGCGCGGTTTTGTTCCTTTTTTTCAATGGAATAATATTCTGTGTTTCTCAGTTTTAACGTGACTCGCATCTTAACGATGCTTTCCCGCCGGCTGATGGAACCTTAAAAGGTGCGATTAAAGGAAACATCCTCAGCTAATGCACTTGGATAATATTGGAATTCAAACTAGGCAGGATAGAAAAGAGTGGTCTCCAGAAACCGATATAGTACCTTTGAGACAATCATGTCAATTTATGTCATTTTACTCCATAGTGGGACCAAGGTTTAAGCAGTCCGACCAGAAATGGAACACTCTTTATTCACTATACCCAGCGAGAAATGAGACCGAGGGGTACCCCCCCCAACATGTCCAA